CCCCCCCCCCAACGATCAACAATTTTAGTAGAAGCAACTAGTAATTATCAACGAGATTCGATCAGTATACGTACTCGGCCCCCCTTATACTCGAATCCTGGCTCCGCCACTGGCTCTGCTCCCTGCATAACACCAAGAAATCTTTCGGATAGAATGCTTGAATTGACATGCCCATCGGCCCGATGCGAAAATCTTCATGCAACGCCGCCGCCGCCGCCGCCGGGTCGACCTCCGGCCTGGTACCGGTGATCGTGACTACCACAGCTTTGGACAGCTCCGCCTCCATCTGCTAGAGATCCTCTGCCTCCTCCATGTAGCAGCAGCCTATCATAAGATCACATAAAGCACGCATGGTCGGTGTCATGGTCCCACCTATCACTCAGCCAGCGGTGGAGTCCATTCTCTGCGTGAAGCTGAAACGTCCACTACATAGGCGCTGGTGACTGTTGTGAAGAGAATCGTCAAAAATCAGAACATATCACTCCCGTAGGCTATTGGCTGTCGATTCCTGTCTTCTTCTTCTTCTTCTTCTTCTTCTTCTTCTTGTCCAAGATCTGTAATTGGTTGTAGCAAACAGTGGAGCAATTTACACGTAATCGGAGAGAGTAGTTCGTGGCAGTCGGTATAAGATCAAATGCGAGGGAGCATGCCTTCAATTTTCTCAAGTTTGTATATTTATTTTAGGTTCTTGTGGAAATTTAAACTTTTACGTTCATGGCTTGAATTGTCATCCTTCTCTAATGCCGCTAGGAATTTTCTCCAACACATGATGTGTAGTTGAATAGTCTGCCTCCATTTTGAGATGTGATGGAGGAATTCCACAACACCAGCAGCGTAACCATCAGCTTCCCTAAGTAAGACAAACTTGACTAGAATGGTTTTATATTCTTCTATAGAGGAGTAGTATATTTTTTCTACCAAAGACAAGGAAAGAAAAGGATACCCAAAAGAATAGAGTAAATTGCAAAAAACCACCACAATTGGGGCCTCTAATTCAGAAAACAACCACGTTTCGTTTTTTTTCAAAAAACCACTATCATTGTGCTGACGGTTTTCAGAAAACACTGATCAATTGGTTAGAGCCGTTTGACGCCGAATCTGACTTCTAGGTCCCATTGTCAGGTCGATGCGGCATGGCCCAAACAGAGTGAGCAGACGGGCGTTAGGCCACCCGGTCAACCCCTCCTCTGCCTCTTTGAGTAATTTTAGCAAACACCTAGCAGGCATGCCGTCGGCCGCCCAGCTTGCCGGTGGCAGGAGCGCAACACCGCCGGCGTCGGTGCAGGAATGGGCCGCATGCGACTGGGCGCGAGGTGGCGCGGCCGAGCAATGGAGGACGCGTAGAGAGGCGGCGCCGGACCAGGGCGCGCACGGGGTAGTCGGGGCACGGGGCGGAGCTCGAGCCCGTGCTCTCGGCCATGGCGCCCGGGAGGTCGCAGGCTACGGGGAAAGAAAGGGAGAGGAGGTGGCCCTCACGTGGGATCTCGGCGGCGAGGTAGGAGGTCTCCAGGACGCTCCAGTGGCCGTGTGACGCTGCCGCTGCTCGCGCTCCTGCCCCTGCTGCGGCGCGCCCGTGCTCTGGACCAGACGGCAGCTTGCGCGCCCTTGTGTGGCCGCTGCAGATGCTCGCGCATCCGTGCACAGACGGTGCTGCCGCTCACGCCCCGTGCGTGGCCGCCGCTCGCGCCCCCGTGCCTGGCTGATGCTCACGAGCCCGTGCGCGGCCGCTGCTGTAGCTGCTCTAGCCCCCGTGCGCGGCCGCTGTCGCTGCCCATGCCCGTGCGTGGCCGCCACACTTGCTCCCGCTCCCGTGGCTGGCCGTGGCCATTGCTCGCGAGCCGGCCGGCGGCTGAATTCGGTGGTATGCCGGTCAGCTCTGAAGGGGAAGAAGTGGAGGCTGAGGTGTGGGTCCAGTGTGCAGCTTACAGTATATGCCAAACGGCGTGAGATTTATGTGTCGTGTCATCACTTATAGCAGGCCCCTCCTGTCAGAAACGCTGTTAACATGTGTTTAGTGACCTATCAGTGTTTTCTAAAAACTGTCAGTACAACGGTGGTGGTTTTTTAAAAAAAAAAACGAAAGGTGGTTGTTTTCTGAATTTTTGTCCCCAATTGTGGTGATTTCTTGCAATTTTCCCTGTCTGAAGAACATTAACAGAGGAAAAAAAGGTTGTTGGACTCCTCTGTTCTTGGCTATGGAATCCCAACACTAGCCGGCCTCTTAATTTCCTAGCTTAAAAGAACATTAACGACTCTCCAACCCATGTCAGTGAGAACACTAGCGAACTATAATGGAAGATCATTCCACAAAGCTTTCTCTACTTTTCTCCAGAGTCAGTACACTATAATGTCCAGCACTGAAGTAGTGTTTTGAGCAAGCAGCAGAGAATGTACAACAGACTTGACTGGGAACTAAAGAAAACCCAAATCTCTGAATTTCTTCAAACAGAAACACTGATTACTAGAAGATACTGTAACCGCTACTTGTCCTGCCACCTTCTTTTAACTCGTATCACAAGAAATTGATACAGCTAAGTAGTTAAAATAAAATTTAAAATGTTAACAAATCAGTCACTACGCCCCTATTGCAACACACGGGCAAAGAGAGCCTTGGCTTAGTGGTTCGGTATGCGGTTGTGCAGCCTAACGACCCGAGTTCAATTCTTAGAATTGACAGGTGATGCACAGGGGAAAACCCCTGTTTCTTGAGGATCAAGCTTTGTGTGTGATGAAACCACACATCAAGAAATATCTTGATACTCTTTTTTTTTCTGAGGACCATGTTTATCTTGGTACTCATACTAAAATGATCGTATGCATTCCTAGTTGGTGCAGAGGCCGGGAAGTGAAAATCTCTCCCATTTTTAACCTGCAGAGGCCGGGGGATAGGGAATTTTTTATGATGGCGTCTACGCGGCTGGAGCATACGGCCAGGGAGGTTTTCTCCCCCATGGATGGCGGTGTGATCTCCGGATAGGATCTGCCACATCATAGGCTGGACTAATCTATCTTCTTTAAGTTGTAAAATAATTTTATTTTTTGGGTCGGTTGGACTGTTTGGCTGTGTGCATCGAGTTATGCAGAGGCCGGGCATTCTTTAGATGCGATTGTATCACCTCGATATATCAATTCAATGAAATGTCCTTTATCAAAAAAATTCACTAGTTGAAATGAAACAAGGGTAACACGCGTCATGATTAAGGTTTCAAATAGAAAAATGGTAGCATTACATGATCCATAAAATGGGTAAAATTCTCACTGTAAAAAAATGGGTATAATTCCAGCAACACAATCTTGTTTTATAAATGAAACAAGCCAAGGTCCATGTTTCCAAGAGCCGGAGACATGGATTGCAAAAGCCAAAAGCCAGGACTTGAGAACTTAAAGATCTTAGGCCTTGATACCATGTTAAGGTTGATGCACTAGCCAACGCAACCAAAAGTCCAAGCTGATGAAAAAGGCTAGACAATCCACATATGCATCCTTGCCATAAGAAAGAAAGCGCAAATACTCCTCTGGTGCATTGTATGTGAGTATGTGGCAGACTTGAAGACCATTTAATTAGGCAGATTGAGATGTTGTATTGACAATATCTCGTGTTCTGTTTGCAAAGAAAGACAAGCAATACTGGGAAGTCCAACGTACTTGTCAGCTATTCGGTGAGCTACAGGAAATCTATCTGAGTCACTGGATTCTTGAGTGCATAAACTAACAACAACTACTTGAAGATTGAGTGATATATATTCAGTAATTTTCAGTGCATAAAGACCATGTTAAGCATTGCATTCTGACTGAATTTGTGATCCTTTCCCGCCACAAGCTGAATTTCAGCTAGTTAAAACGGGCAACAAGGAGCATCTGCATAACTAGATAAGCTCTACATGAAAAACAAGTAGTAACTGGTTAAGCCCTGTCTGAAAAACAATTACCTGGAAATAAATATATATAATCTGCAATAACAATGCCTGCCTGGACATCGAGCTGTTACAGTGTATGATATACAAAAACTGGTATACACTATGTCTCAAGACTGCTCCAGTGATATACAACAACAGAGGGAAAAAAGGTTGCTGGACTGCTCTGTTTTTTCCTGGACCGCTGCATGCTCTGTTTTTGCGAGCATCTGACACGCAACTACAGCATTAACGACTCTCCAACCCATGTCAGTGAGAACATACTTGTCAGCTCTTTATAGCGAACTAAATGATGTCCATCCCACAAATTTTTCTCTACTTTTCTCCAGAGTCAGTACACTATAATGTCCAGCACTGAAGTAGTAGTATGTCAGCAAGCAGCGGAGAATGTACAACAGACTTGACTGGGAACTAAAGAAAACCCCAGTCTCTGAATTCCTTCAAACAGAAACACGATTGCTTGAAGAACAGTAACCGCTACTTGTCCTGCTACCTTCTATTTACCTCGTATCACAAGTAATTGAGACAACTAACTAGTTAAAATAAAATTAAACATGTTAACAAATTCACTAGTTGAAATGAAACAAGGGTAACAGGCATCATAATTAAGGTCTCACACAGAAAAATGGTAGCATTACAAGTTCCATAAAATGGGTACAATTCTCTCTGTAAAAAACAATTTGGTACAATTCCAGCAACACAATCTAGTTTTATAAATGAAACAAGCCAAGGTCCATGTTTCCAAGAGCTGGAGACATGATTATTTTATCTGGAGAAATAGGATATCACAATGGTAAAAATCACGAATACATTTTTAAGCAACCAACGCTTCTGCTTCTTTCACAAGATCTGAGAGGAGGGGCGTGGCAGTCTTCTTCGCGCCACCATCAGTCCCAGCGAAGAGCATGCAGCTTTCAAGGTTACACGTGATTCTTGAAGCCTTGGACAGTGTCTCCACAAATTTCTGATCCTTGAGGTGTGCGAAGTACTGGCTACCCCGCATCATTGTAACCGCAATCTGACCGCAAAGCTTGACGATTCTTAGGCTATTAGCCGTGCCGTCGGAGTTCTCTTCTACTATAGTCTTGAGCTTCGCCACAAATTCACCTTCTCCTGGGGCAACCTTTTGAGCCACTTCATCAAAATCCTCTGCACTGATTATCAGCTTGTCAAATATCACCAAAGTAAGGGATAACAATGCTTCCTTCAATTCCAGCATGGCTGCCTGCTTCTCATTTTGCTCGGATGAATTGATGTGGACTTTATGTTCCAGACGTTGATTTTCTTCGTCGTCTTGAAGTGGATTTTCTTCAATATCTCCTGATCCTTTGGATGCCTGCCTTTCCGGTGCTTCTGATGGCGGCTTCTTTTTACTGGTTAATACTTCAGCCCGCACCTGCAACAACAAGATAACTTAAACTTCAAATCACTTCACACATGGTACTAGTAAAGGTTTCAAATCTAGAATTTTCCAATTAATATGTTTCAGTGTATGATCTTAGTCTTTAGGTTGACACTTGCTAATCTAGAAGGTGATTCAGCTATAAGAAAAGCACAGGAAACATTAGAAATAGAACACAATATCTCATGCTTTTAACTTGCTAGTGACAGTATTGTGCTGCTCCAGATGTTAGAGCTACATAAACAGCTGTTACCTTTGGCAGCAAGGTATTCTTCACATGATTCTTGTCCATCGTATGTAGAGCAAAAAAATTCTCCAAGATCTCAGCTGCTATTGTTCTGTATATGGCCTTGTTCTTAGCATCAAGCATTTCAGTGACTTGATCAACAATGGGATTGTATATGCGCATTATACACACCACGGAGATAGTTCTTGTAGTCTTGGATAGTAATGCCAGTAGTGTTTTCCCAGCCGTAACCCTAAGGTCTTCTTCTTTTCCTTCATCAAGGAAGATCTGCAGCTGCTTGTTGATCAGATTTTCTTTTGTTTCTGTGGCGAGGTTAGCGGACGAATCCAAAGCCAATTCTGCCAGTATCTCCATAGCTCGCATCTGCAGTTGGTGGCTACCTGTGTTGCCCTGATCAAGAATCCTCTCCAGGTTGCTCACAGCCTGCTCGCTATAGGAGATTTCATGGGCCAGCCTTCTGCCACCAGTCCACTCAGGTGCACCACTCTGAAGGCTCCATTTACTACATCTTGCCATGGCATTATGTTGATATCTTGGATTAGTGTTTCAGAGCAGATAGGTGACATGATCTTGGCGATTAGATCAGGGCTTCTGCATATGTCCCTGCAGTTGTGTTGGTCAGACGCCAGCCTCTCCAGAATTGTTAGGCCTTGTAGAATCAACTCATTCCAGCCATCTCCTTGGCTGTCCCCTGCACCTTGAGGTGACTGATTACGAGATCCTTGTTGGTCGTTATTCCAATGTGGCAGCTGGGTGGTGGAACTGAGTAGGGAGGATATGCACCGTATTGCCCCAGGGAACTGTGTTAGATCGATGTCACACGCAAGATGTGCCAATATCCTGGAGGTGAGCTCCTTAATCTCTCTGTCACTGTACTCCACCTAAGTGTATCCATCAGCTTTTGAACCTTTTGACTCGAGGGGAGTATAAGTGGCCTTACATCCATTAGGTGCACCTTGATGAACACATCCAGCATCCTTGCTCCGGAAAGGTAGTCTTCTTGCGATGATTCAGAGTCCAGCAAATGGACTGCGTACTTGACCAATCTACTATCCTGAGTGGATGTTTCAGGGTTCCGCAAGAATTTTTTACGGGTGTCAATCAGGTACCCTTGAACTGATGTGCTACGCCATATCTCTGGGAACTCGCATACTCGTAGGAGTGGAACTTTAAAGCGTGCAACCACCGGTCTAAAGGCAGATATACACCATAAAAAGGAGAGTGCACCTTGACCGAGAACTAGATAATAGAAAAAGTCCAATGCTGGCATCAGGTTTGCTTTGGTGTTGTCCCCGTCGTTGCTGCCATAATCACGCTGTATTACACGCCACAAGGAGATCCCGGCACAGATGAAAGAGTCACACACGCACAACACCCGCCCTTTAGGGGAATTGAGCATCAGCTCTTCCCACTCCTTGAAGAGCCTGTGAAAACATGGCATAGCAAACAATGCATTGTCAGTTTCGTTTTTTTCGATAAAGGGTGGATTTTATTTAATTCAAAATGAAGCATCAAGGGGATACAAACATATTGAGCACACACCCGGCCTTTGCATAGTTAGGATGCACATAGCCAACACCAACTCACACACACAAAAACGCGTTGACAAATAGCAAAGTCATGCAAGACCAAAGCTATGCCTAAGCGAGGAAAAGAAAGAACATCTGAAGTTATCAAATCCATGATTGACAAACTATAACTATGACCTTATCCGCACCAATCACCTCATGACATCATAAAGACAACGAGGTTCTTCAACAACAACGCCTTCAAGAAGGGAGCGGCGCTCAAGCGCCGCATAGTCACTTTCGTAGTTGAAGCAGAATAGGTGGGCGAGTGCTCACTCAAAACCTCTCTCTCCCTGCTACAGTATATAGAAGCAAAAGATAAGGCGACTGTAATGGGTGTGCGAGTTTTGCAAGATCCCTTTCTCCCGTTGTCTATATCTCTCTTGCTTCCACAATCCGGCCTCTCTCCCCGCGTTTACGGAGGCCACGGTGGCTGGCGGTGTGTAGGAGGGAGGACCGGCAGTAGTCTCATGTGGTAGGGTTAGGTCAGGTGTGAGTTTCCCTGCGTGCTCATCCTGGCGGCGTGCGGAATAAGACTTGTTCCGGCTCCTTCCTGCTCGCTCTGTGCCATTTACGATGCCCGTGAGGAGCCAAGGAACCCTTTTTTAGGAAACTGGCCAGAGCACTGACTTTTTCTATTAGACAGAAAACAAGAGGGTTTATGTATAAAGATAACAAGGTTTTTTGGTGGACAAAAACCCCTAATCGACCCACAAGGTAGACTCAATCAACCAATACCGTCCGCCACCTCTGCCCGGTCAAAAGCGAGAGTCATCTGCTTGCTACGTCTCTAACATATCTATAATTATTTATTGTTCCATGCTATTATAGTATCAATCTTGGATGTTTTTATATTCAATTATATATCATTTTTTGGGACTAATCTATTAACTTAGTGCCTAGTGTCAATTGCTGTTTTTTGCTTGTTTTTGGCTTTTCAGAAAATCAATATCAAAAAGAGTCCAAACGGAGAAATAACTTTGGATTAATTTTTTCTGCACCAGAAAAGACCCTAGAAGGTTCAGGAGAAGACCTGAAGAGCCACGAGGGAGCGACAAGCTCGGGAGAAAGATGGGGTTTATTCATGCGTGAGGTTACTTTGTCTACATCATGCCATCTTGCTTAAGGCGTTACTCGGTTATTTATGAACTTAATACTCTGATGCATGCTAGATAGCAGTCGATGTGCGAAGTAATTGTAGTAGATGTAGGCAGGAGTCGGTCTACTTGTCTCGAACGTGATGCCTATATATATGATCATGACCTTGGATATCGTCATGATTATTTGATTTTCTATCATTTGCTCAACCATAATTTATTTACCCACCGTATGCTAACTATGGCCCCCGGGTCTACTTTCATCATATATTAAAATCCAAAAATACCTTGCTGCAATTTATTCTTTATTTATTTTATTTTATATTCTATCTATCTATCTATATATCTATCTATCACAAAATTTAATCTTGCAATTAATCGTCAAGAGGTTGACAACCCTTGTTCGCAATGGGTGCTAGTATTTATTATTTTGTGTGCATGTACTGCTAATGAGGTGTTGCCTGGTTCTCCTATTGGATTGATAATATTGGTTCTTAACTGAGGAAAATACTTACTCTACTGTACTGCATCATTCTTTCCCCTTCAAGAAAATCCCAACGCAACTCACAAGTAACAGGAAGAATTTCTGCGTCGTTGCCAGGGAGACATCATCAACATCTATCAAGTATCTACGCATAAACGATCATCTCCTTGCATTTAGATTATTTTCTATTTGCCTCTCGTTTTCATCTCCCCCTTCTATTTTTTTTTACAAAAAGAAAAAAATATTATATTCTTTCGTTTTGCTCGTTAGCCTTTTCGTTTGCTTGATATCTTATTTGTCTAGCCATGATGTCTCAAGAAAATACAAAATGTGTGATTTTTCAAATACTAATAAAAATGGTTTTATAAGTACTCCGGTTGCTCCTCCTGCCGCTAGTGCAGAGACTTGTGATATTAATGTCACCTTGTTAAATCATGTTATGACAGAACTATTTTCTGGTGCTCCTAATGAAGATGATGCATCCCGTCTTAACACTTTCGTAGAATTATGTGACATGCAGAAGAAAAAAGATGTGGATAATGATATTGTCAAACTAAAATTATTCCCATTCTCATTGCGGGATCATGCAAAAATTTTGTTTTCATCTTTGCCACGAAATAGTATTGATTCTTGGGATAGGTGTAAAGATGCCTTTATTACCAAGTATTTTCCTCCCGCGAAAATTATCTCTCTTAGAAATCAAATTATGAATTTTAAAAAACTTGAGCATGAACTTCTTGCCCAATCTTGGGAGAGGATGAAATTAATGATAAGAAATTACCATACTCATGGTTTAAATATATGAATGATCATACAAAAAAAATTATGCGGGATTGAACTTTGTTTCTAGAAATCTTTTAGATTCCGCCGCGGGTGGTACCTTTATGGAAATTACATTGAGAGGAGATACCAAATTACTTGATAATATTATGGGAAATTATTCACAATGGCATACTGAAAGAGCTCCTACTAGTAAGAAAGTGAATCCGGTTGAAGAAATTAGTACTTTGAGTGATAAGATTGATGCGCTTATGAAATTGGTTGCTAGTAAAAAAATGCTCTTATTGATCCTAGTGATGTGCCATTGTCCACTTAGATTGAGCAAAATACGATCCCATATATGTGAATTTGTCTCATGAAGCAACTTTATAGAGATAATTTTAATCGTAGGCTGTTCTCTAGAAATTTCTCTAATGATTATGGTAATTTCTATGTTAATAATAATAATAATAATAATAATAATAATAATAATAATAATAATAATAATAATAATAATA